AAAAAACAAAAACAAACAAAAAAAACCATATTGTCATACGTAACAAAAAAAAAAAAAGGTAAGTTTCAAATTCTGTCCTCACTCTGAATTAAAATGAAAAGTAGGGCTCACAATTCTCCATTACTGCATATTAGGATTCACTTACTAAACATAAACTTTATTTATGGCCATTCAGAGCTCTGTTCTATTTTTACAGAACAATTATACCTCACATTTGGCGATAAATGTTTCCTCCCCATCAAGGTCAAGGCCATCTAAAGCGCAAATGACAGATGCCCCAAGCCCTGGAGACATAATCTATCATTTCAGCATGTTGTGCACAATGCCAATCTTCAGGGTTTCATGCAGAATTCAATTATAAAACCTGTTCTGAAGATTTTCTAAGTGTGCAGTAGAGTTTTGCTCTGAGCAAAATATGTAGGCTGGATGCCTTCAGTTGTAAAATGCATTTACTTTTGCCAAGGCCAAAACAGATTCACATACTTTTCAACTGATTTGGGGCTTCACAAAGAAAGTTTAAATATACATACAACATTTATTATTCTTCCTTGGCCAACATGAGGACTGTAAATACCTTAAAAAAATGTTTTTAAGGACAGAATAATTTTCAGCAAGCTTAATTGTTGTATTGTTACTGATTTATTTTACAATGATATGATGACACCAAGACACAGCTGCCTCTGGTGTGACTAAGTATTAGTTCTGCCTATACTTCCGAGCAGTGACTAATGCTCAGAATTCCTTCTCATAAATTCAACAGATGTTCACTGGCTGCCTCTGTGTGCCAGGCAGCCTTCCAGCCTCTGAGGGTTCAGTCCCAGTCCTTAGACACTGCTCTGTTTTTGCAAAGTATACCTTTTAGGGACAAAGAGTTGGGACTGACATGACCCATGGTGCTTGACACCTATGAAAATGTCACATGACATAGCTAGGATGGGAAAAAAATGCAAGAACAGAAGCCTAGTAACCACCATAGTCCTGATCGCCTCACTCTTCCCATACGTGGTGAGAGCATGGGCCTACTGTGTAAAATTCCTGAAGTAACTTCCCTCCTTTCCAATACAAAAGGCCTGCTCAGATAGTCTCTAACACCCCAATTTCAATTTCTTTATGTCAAGTGCAAGGGGAGAAAAAACCCCACCAGTACAAGCAAGACAATGAGCTCTTTGTTATGTCTCACCTAAATGATAATCTCTACATTCATTCTCCTGAAAACCTCTGACAGTTAGAGCATCAGAAGAGATCTCTTCACAAGTCTCAGGAAGAGGCTGGATAATATCCAATCTAGGTCTGGCACAGTATTCTCTTTCCTAGTGTGAAAAAGAGAAGGAAAAGGCTCTTTTTAGTTACATTTCTCTGTTATACACAAATTTTACTGAGCTAGTTGCCTTGCTTTTATCACTTCGACCCAAAGTGTGCAGCTCTAACAATAAACTACAGACAGCCTCATAATACAGTTTTCTTACTTTTATTTGAGTAAAATAAACCTAGCCAAGTAGTCCTGTGAGCTCCAGAACACCACCACTACAGCTCTCCTTCCAATGGGGCCTAAGGAAGGGTACCCAAGACTCAGGTCATCTTGTTACATCTCTTGTAGTCAATGTATGAAGAAAAATAGATGATTCCAGAAACTGCTCCATTATCCAAATTATTCTCACTTTCAGTAAAATTACTAATAATGCTGAGAAGCCAACTAGCAATAAGTGCTATTTCTAAATTAGAGCTTGCTGAGAAGGTAAGAACATTTTATTCTGGTAGTTCCTAGTTAGAGACAGCTAAGCAATCCCTGAAAAGTGACTGATGTGACCAAAAAATCACATTTTTTGTTTTCTAGAATTTTAATTTATTCAACTTTGAATAGCACATGTGGCTAAATAATGACTATAGGACTGGAAAGTCCAGATCAGGATGGAAGAAATGACAAGCTCACATTTCTTGAGAGCCTAACAATAAATAGGTTTATAAATACAGGCTGCTCTATTTCTGTTCTTAGATTAACCCTGTCAAACTAGGTATTATGGATAACAATTTCAGCTGCAACAACTAAGTTTCAGAAAAGTTAACTCACTTCAAAGCTCTATGTATAAATGGAGAGAATAAGAATTTTGGACAAACAGACTTACAGTAAGCCTTAGATTTGAAATAGTCTGTTTTTAAATTCACGCTTTTGGAGTATTCAGAATATAGGCAAAAACATATGCCTGAATGTTTTACCAAAGCACAATGACAATGTAATATCAATGTAGAAAAATAACAAAACAAAAACAATGCATGACACTGATGACAGGGGCAGAATTGTAAAAATAAAACTATAACCAACTCTTAAAATTTCCTGCATAAAATAGTAGGACTTGAAGATTTCTTTGATCAATTTGAAGATAACTGAGTAGACATTACATTAGCTTTGTATCCTATATGGTTAAAATATTCCAAAGGTGGTGTTAGGTGCCTATAAGTTGATTCTAACTCATGGTGGCTCCACTTCAAAAAGTGTCCATAATATCTGACTACAAATTTGTAATCAGAACTATATTTGAGAGAAATTTCTGAATTTGAAACAACAGGAGGAGAGAGGGAGGAAAATCATGAAAGGAAAAACAGAAGGGTTTTTTAGTTAAAGAATTGAATTGCTACAGAGCTCTGGTAAGGCACTATAATGTAATCCCAAACACACACAGTTTGAGGCCACCAGCTGCTCTATAGGAGAAGTATGGGCCATCTCCTCCTGTGTGACTAATTGCCTTTGAAATCCCACCAGAGGGTTAGTTATGGGTCATTTCAGACTCTCCAGTATAACAACAACAAAATATCAAAGTCAGAACAATATAACAGAAAAAATACTTGAATCAAATAATATAAAAAGATAACCAAATCACTAGAGCATTAAAAAAGTTATTTTAAAAGAACCAGGACTGTGACCCATTCAGAATTTCACTTATTATTTTATATTCCCCCTCTCCCATTTATTTCTTTAAATTTTGTTTACAGGTCTAAGTGTCCTACTTTTCTGTGACCTGCTAAGGGCAAGAATTTGGTCTTGTTTGCCTTTGACCTCTCATGCTTAGAATACGTACGTGGTCTTTTTGATGACTGGAAGAAAAGCAAAACAGTGAATTAGGGTGCTCAATTAGACTATACTAAAGAGCTGATAGGACACAACTAACAAAAATGATACTGGAGACTATGCAGACATACGGGAAGATAACAGAATAGTGCTCATAAAAAGGGGTAACACAGAACAGCTTATGGAAAAACTGCAGCCATGTGACAAACATTTAACACACATTCTGAACCGTTGTAATCTAAGTGATTAAAAAAAATTACTTAAAGTTTTGGTCAAACCATGTTCCATATGGAAACAATAAAAAAGGATGGGCAGAGATGACTCAAAATTTAACCCTTTATTTCTTTTCTTTTTGATTTTATCAATTAATTTTTTTTTTAGTAAGGATTTAAGGTGTATTTTGGTATTACATAGAATATCTAGCTAAAACTGTATATACTGGCACATTTAAAATCTAGTTCATTTTAAAATCATCTCTAGCAACTCATTTCTTCTGAAACATTCCATTTTCTTATTTGTTCTCTGGTGTTGGCTTTCACTTTTTATTCCTTCCTAATATTTTCCCTTATTAATATGGGTATCTTTTGTAGGGTTATCATTTTTTTCTTTCAACCGTTTATTAGACTTTCCCTTGACACTTTCTTTTTTACACACACTTTTAGCTTTCCCTAAATCCCTCACCAAAGAGAACTGTATTTATTCTCTTGGGAATCAGTGCTTTTTCTCTATTTTCAATACATAAATAAACTGATGTCCTGATCGGGAAAGAAGCCAACCCTATTGATTTTAGGATGTCTGAGTGTTCACTTACGTCTATAGCATTTTATTGCCTAGCAACATGGGCACTCAGAGCTTCAGGTTACTATAGTGATAGAGTCCTAAGGCAAGTGCGTGCTCAGGGAAATGCTCAAGGGTACCTATTACTTAAAAATGGGCTTTCCAAGGCTTTTTCTATTTTATTCTTTGTCTATTTGGGGGTAAACCAAACAAACATGGAAAGCCTACTTACTGTAAAGGGCTAGACAATCAATTTTCATTTCTTTTAGACATAGCTCTGAGAACGTAATATTTTACTACAGGCTCTCTGTTTAGATCTTCAAGCCACCTCATCCCCTTCTTGACAGGACCTCTGAACTCACAATAGAGCCAAGCTGGACATGAGGCCAACTTAGGCTTCAAAGGGAGAATGGGTGTGCATGTCCTTTCATGTCACAGAACTTTACTCCAAAGCCACCTATCACCAAATACAGGTGATGTGCTACTTTTTGATCAGTTATACACTTCATGCTGTCATTTGCATTGATTCTTGAAAGTGAGTAACACTGCGTTTCAAAGCAATAATCCAGTTATTCAGAATCACTAGCCACTGGGAAGGAAACAAGTATTTCTAGGCCACGAGAAATAATGAACTGCCTTTCTATAATTCCCTACAACCACAGGGACCCCTGTTGTTAAAGCTGATCAACTTCATTGCTGTCATTTCTGGTAATACACAGTTCCAGCTTAGTTTTTTTGCCTTTCAGCAAGAAGAATCTTTCATTTCTTTCAACTAAGATACCAAGAGAGATGGGGGAAAATGACTCTCCCCTTTGTTCAGCAAAAGGAACAAAGGCAGGCAGTGAGTGGGCTTTCTGAAAGTAAATATGTTAGATCTATAGAGTAATCTCAGCTGATTCTATTTTACAGGTCAGGAAGTTCTAGTGGAACTACACCAAAGCCTTTTCCCAGACAACCTCATTTGGGGACATTGCTAAAAGGGGAATCCCTGTATTTCGTTAAACTTAGAGAAAATAATTACCGTTTTTTCTGAAACCTCCTTTACGTAGGAAAGCACAACAAGCTGATCACAGAGAGGTGCAAGTCCGCTGATGTAGAATTCAGTTTCAAACTGAGACACTGCAAACAAAAGGGATAATGGATTCACTATTACCAGGAACAACAAGCAATACACAGGAGGAAGGACTGTATATTCCTCACATGGATTCTGAATGGATTTATTTAAGAAATCTAAAAGACTCAGTAACTGAATTAAAAAACAAATGAACAGAAAAACACACAACCAACAAAACAAACACACGCCCAATAAAAAAACTCCAACCAACAGCCAGCCAGCCTGAACAGTTATCCTCCAAAAGATGATATAAATTTGATTTTGAATGTAGTCTTGATCCAAAAGAGAAGCTATAGTTCTTGAGCAGTGCAGTCTAGGAGAAATACAATGTCAGGAACACAGGCTACATATGAAATTTTAAATTTGTGGGGTAACACATTGAAAAAAATATCAAGAAACAGCTGAATGATGTTTAATATATCTCAAATAGCATCTAAATATGAAAGCAGTACAAAAATTAATGAAATAAAAAAAATTAATCAAATATTTAACTCCCTCTCCATCAAGTCTTTGAAATCCAGATGTATTTAAAACTTCTTGATGTGAAATGACCAAGATTTTTATCGCTGTAGTGGCTAGTAGTCATTCTATTGTACAGCACAGTTCTAGTTAGTAAATACATTTTTCACTTTGTACTCCTCCGATTTATAGTTTCTTTCCCTCTCTCTCATTTTTATGCTAGACCAGGAAATTTTCTTGAGTAATTGTTTTTAGTCTTCTGTTGTTTTACTTCAGGGACTTTTATCAGGGCTACTTTATCTTTCTTTTTTCTCTTCTGTATTGGTCACTCATCTTAAATCTTTTTCCCCAATACTGATTTTTTATTTTAAAAATTTTTCCTTTATTCCTCAAGGAATTATAATTTATTTATTTGTTCTTTTGTTGTTCTAGTTTAGTTTTCTTTTTTGAAATGATCTTGTAATTCATAAATATTTCCTGAGTTATATCCATGCATCTGAATTTTCTGATTTTTACTGCTTAAAACATTTAAAAAATGTTAAGTTTTTAGTATTTTTTAAAGGGTAAACCATTGTTTTGATTTCTTTGGCAGGCATGCTTTTCTGATGGAATCTCCTTGCCAACTGCTATTCTTGTTCCTATTCTCTTTCCTATAAAATTTAGCATGATTTGACTTTGATAATTTTCTGGTGGTCACATGCACATGAAATTGCTCTGTCTAAATTTTTAGAAGGAAGATAAAGGTATTAGAATAGTTTTTCTCTTTCTTCTACAATTTTCACTGCATGTTAAAAATCTGGGCATTTGCCAATCATAATGTCTGACAAAGTAGTCTTCAAATCAAAATGTAGTCCAAGAGTCAAAGTCATTGTATAATGAAAAAAAGCACAATTTATAAAAAATACATAGCAATTATAAATATATATATGCATTTAACATCAGAGGTCCCAAATTTATAAAGCAGATACTGACAAAATTGAAGGATGGAATACACAGGTGTACAGAAGTACCACTTTAATATGGTGGTATTGAAAATAGAACTAGAAAGATTCAGAAAGGGGCAACTTGAACCACTGTATTAACAACAGATATTTAAGAGACATATATAGAACACCCCATCAAAACTGACAAAGAGAGAAAAGAAATATCTAAAATTAGACATGAAAGTGGGGACATTTCAATTGATTCTACAGAAATAAAAAAGAACTTAGAGTTCTCACACTGATTCAAGAAGAAATAGTAGATCTCAACAGATCTATAACAATTGAAGACATTACATCAGCTATCAAGAATTTTGCAACCAAAAAAAAAGTCTTAGACCAAATGACTGCATTGGAATATTCAATCAAACATTTAGCAGTCATCCAACCCAATTTAAACTTTAAAAAAAAAAACAGAAGAGGAGGGCATACTAGTTAACTTATTTTATGAAGCATTACTCTGATCCCAAACCAAATAAAGATGACAAGAAAATTAGAGAATACACCAAAAAATACTAAAAAAAAACAAAACCACAAAACCCCCAAACCCCCCAAACCTAGCAAACTGGGAGAGGGGACCTATAACAAAAGGATTAAGGATTATAGCTTTCCAGTGAGATAGTGAACTAGTCAGATGGGCAAACCTGGCCCTCACCTGTTTTTGTTGTGTACCATGGAGTTGGACACAATCCATTGCTGATCCTCCAGCAGATTTGCTGAGGCTGTAAATTGTACTGAAGGAGAGTGAAGGTGTGAGAAAGGGGAATTAGAAAAGTGCAGCAGCCCCATGAAACGTACCCAATAGCTGTGAGGAGGTTATGGTCAGGATCCACAAAACTGACATACCCATGTTGCACTTACATGAAGAAACAGGACCACATCTTCTCACTTCTTCCAGAAGACTGGCCAAACAAACATCTGTTTGAATGGGTAGGACACTCTTTGGCCAATGAAACAATCTTTCCCCTAAAGTGAGCAGGCCATCATTCTGAATCTTGCACAGAGAAGCTTGACATAGATTCATTAAACAAGAGTCTGACAACACCATTTTGAATCAGGTGCTGAGAAGTTCTGGGCAGACACAGAGGGTGAGAACTCAAAACTGATTTTTAATTTAGTCCTCGGGAAACTATCACAGACACAGTAAATGGGGATTAACACATGACTTCTGGCAGAGCCAGCTAGCAGACCACTAATGCAAAATTACGACCAATAGTAACTATGAACACTGCCACGCCTGCTGCTAGCCTAGTAGCAGCCCATGATCTCATGAATCTGAGACTACCATGGATGCTGGCTGGCTGGCTTAGCTGTGGAATGCCTAGCTTCCAGAACTCCATCTCTCAGTTCACACAATAGCTGACCAAGCCTAATGTCATTGTAAGAACCTCGAGCAACACTCACCCATGGCCTCAAGACTCAATGCCACACAAAAAATAGCAGAAAACTTAATGGCCTGCTAATTCAGGGTTAAACAGAGAGACTGAGATTCAGAGAGCTCATGATTCACAGAGAAAGATTTGGCCATTCAGTGAACCAGTGGGTGCAAGGACATCCTATGTCAAATGGTAGTACATCCACTGTGGGCCCCATAGCACACTGTATTAGAATGCCCACACATTCCACCATAGCCAGGGTAAGAGCAAACCTCACCTGACAAGTGTTAAATAGCAACCTTTACCAACCAGCCCCATCCCCAAACAACAGCACTACACAAATAATGAACAGATAATTACATGTACACTCCATTAGCTATCATATACATGCCAGAAAAAAGGAAGTTAAAAGATGTACAATAATAAATAACATCAACACATTGTCCTAGTTGCAGAAGAAACATCAAATATCACAAAATAACAAACAGTCATTAAAAGGGGGAGGGATTAAAAATTCAGACTCAATGGAGAGTCTAGATGTAGGAAGGCTGACATAATCCTCTGAGGAGGAATTCAGAAAAATAGTGGTCAAGAGATTACAAAGGGTAGAAGAAACGTACGAAAAAATTAAAAGGAATCAAGAAGCAAAGAGCTAGAAGAAATAATAATAAAAACTCTTCACTAAAAACTAATACAAGCCCAAATGGATAAAATCAATGGGATATTAAAAAGCATATAAAAATAAGAAATTGAAATCTAGAATAGTAAGACCAGCTTCTGATCACAGAAGTTATCAGTATGTGGGTGGGAAAAAAGAGTGGAATTGGAGAAATGGAACACAGAGTCAGTGAAAGAAAAGACAAAGCTCTTAACACAAATTTTGTAGAGGAAAAAGCTGAAACAAAAAGGCTAGAAAAGAAAGCATATGAATTCTGTGGGATGCCCTCAAGAGAATACACACACATGTGATTGGAATTGCAGAATAAGAAATTGTTGTTAGATGTCAACAAGTTGAGTAGGACTCATAGTGACCAAATGAACAACTGATCTGAAACCGGTCCTAGCCTGTGCCATCCTCACAATCTCTGACTTACTTGAGCCCATTGCTGAAGTCACTGTATCAACCAATCTAGTTGAGGGGCTTTTCTTTTGCTGATCCACCACCTTTCCAAGGAATAACCACTTCTAGTATCATGCCCAAAGTATGTGAGACAAAGCTTTATCCCTGCTGCTTCCAAGGAGCACTTTGGCTGCCCCTTCTCCAAGATTTATCTGTTTGTTATTTTGGCAATATATGGGATATTCAGTATTCTTCCTCAGAACCACAGCTCAATTTTTCTTCTGTCATCCTTATTCACTGTTTAATGCTCAGATGTGCAACAAGTGACTGAAGAGCCTGTGGCCTCAATGAGATGCACTCTAGTCCTCAAAATTGTATCACTGCTCCTCAATAATTTGGGGAGGTAACTAAATGTCGACTTTTCAAGTGCAACACATCTTCTGATTTCCTGAATGCTGGTACTAAGGCTGTTTCTTGTAGAAAGATCCAAGTAAGATGAAGTTGTTGATGTTCTTGTTATGTGCCATCGAGTTGTTTGCGACTCATTGCGACCCTATGTACAACAGCCCTAAACCCTGGTCTATCCTGTGCCAATCGCATTGCCTCTGACACACCCATCCTGATTACCCCAGTCACTGAATCAATCCACCTCATAGAGGGTCTTCCCCTCCTGTGCTGTCCCTCCACCCTACCAAGGATGATGTTCCTCTCCAAAGACCTGTCCCTCCTTGCAACATACCCAAAGTATGTCAGACGAAGACCCAGAATCCTTGCCTCCAAGGAGTAGCTTGGTTTAAACCTCTCCAGGATGAATCAGTTTGTTTTCTTGGCAGTTCATGGTATATTTAATACTCTTCTCCAGCACCACAGCTCAAAGGCATCAATTCTCCTTCTATCCTCCCTAGTCACTGTCCAACTCTCTGATGCATAACAAATGATTGCAAAGACCATGGCCTGTATCAGGCGCACCTTAGTCTCCAGAGAGACACCGTTGCTCTTGAGTACTTTAGAGAGGTCCCTAACAGCAGACTTTCCCATCGCAATACATTTTTTTATTTCCTGGCTGCTGAAGTTGTTGATAGTTTCAATATTTTCATCATCTATCATGATGTTGTCTATTGGTCCACTGG